AATTAATTTGGTTTAATTATCTCGAGTATTCGAATATTTCGGCATTCTCTGTATATTATGATTTGGTACATAATATACGGTATTGAAATACGCATTTCCATATATACGGTATTGAAATCCTTGTATATAATATTGAATTTCCATATATACGGTATCATAATTCTCATGACGTAGAGAATACTCAAATGCATATGATCCATCGTAATGAGTAGTGGTCAAGTATTAAATAATATAGAATGGGTAAATTACTTTCCTTAGGATAGGTTTAGGAATAATAATAAAGATATACCTTTGTGGAAGGAATATTCAAAATAAGTTTGTTTGATCTTTAGTTTTAATAGTTTCTGGTACATTTCCATATATACGGTTTTGCAATTACTAATGGGTTATACTCATTTTAATTTTGAATATTCGCCAATATTCTTCTGTTTAGTTATTCCGATTGTCGTGAACAATTCGATTATATAATGTGATGGTATTAATTGCCTAACGTATTGCTGAACCAACAGAATATTGTATATAGATAGTTCCCATAAAATTGAAACATATATTCATAGATAATCATTTACTATTATTTCAATATAGAATGGGTTAATTACTTTCCTTAGGATAGGTTTAGGAATAATAATAAAGATATACCTTTGTGGACGCAAAGGTTAAATAAGTTTGTTTGATCTTTAGTTTTAATATTAAATTAACATTTCCATATATACGGTTTTGCAATTACTAATGGGTTATATGAAGATAACACAAAATGATTTTGATCAAGCAAATCATTCTTATGCCAAGTCTTTATGCAAACCCTCCTATTATATACAATGGGTTAATTACTTTCCTTAGGATAGGTTTTGTAATAATTATGAAGATATACCGTAGTGGAAGCAAAGGTTAAAACTGTTTATTGGATCTTTTGGTCTCTTCTTGTTAAATACGCATTTCCATATATACGGTATTGAAATCCTTGTATATAATAATGAATTTCCATATATACGGTATCATAATTCTCATGACGTAGAGAATACTCAAATGCATAAGATCCATCGTAATGAGTAGTGCTCAAGTATTAAATAATATAGAATGGGTTAATTACTTTCCTTAGGATATGTTTAGGAATAATAATAAATATATACCTTTGTGGAAGCAAAGGTTAAATAAGTTTGTTTGATCTTTAGTTTTAATATTAAATTAACATTTCCATATATACGGTTTTGCAATTACTAAAAGATCTCAAATGAATTCAATTTCTTGAAACATATATTCATAGATAATCATTTACTATTATTTCACTTTTTGCGATGAATATTAAACTCAAAGCAATAAGATCAAGGAAACTGAGTAGTCCATATATTAATCTTTTTAATATTCCAATGTCACTCTTGGCTATACTATAACTGAATTCTGATGAAGTAGAGAATACTCAAATGCATAAGATCCATCCTAATGAGTAGTGCTCAAATATTAAATACAATATATTCCGATATAGGCAAAGACATGAAACATCACCTTCGAATTCCATTTGTTCTTATTTAGCTGGTTTGCCTTACAATTGGTCAAAATTAACATGGTTTAGTGAAGAAAAATGCAAGTTTATAAAATTAAATAATAATCCAAAACAATCAAAATCATGAATATCACACTTCACTTAACATGGTTTAGTGAAGAATAATGCAAGTATATAATCACATTTAACCAAAATCCAAAACAGATAGGTTCATTGACCAAAATGTTGAAATGACAGTAGAAGTACTCTCATCGACAAAGCCATAACAATAATAAGAAGACAAATAATTCTAAAACAAGAAGTTGAGAGGAAATTATGAAATGCAAAATAGATTCGAAAACATAAAGGTTCTTTAACCAAAATTAAGAAATGCAAATAGAAGTACGCTCAGCGAGAAAGCCATAACAATAATAGGAACTTAAATAATTTAAAAATCTTGAACGGATCACTCGCCCTTGATTTTCTTCTGGGATGGTTTTTTGCTGACGGAGTGTTGATCCTCAAGGCTTGTGTCATGATCTTCTCGATCTTCTTGGCTTTTTCTTTTAGACAAAGGAGTGACTGAAAACTCACCAGAACCAAAGGAAATAGCATCCGAGTTCTGCAACATTAGGAACAAAGACATAAATCTTACTAATTAAAATATAGAATATATATAGTTTTTTAATTCTGTCTAGAACAACGAAGGTGTTTAAATACCTCTGGTTTAGGAGGTAAAGCAGCAAATTCCTCAACCATTTCACGATCTTCGGTGGCCAATCGAACTACATACTGCGTGCTCTTTCCCTTGATGTTGTCAGCATCAACTGATATCTCAAAAAGGAATCGCTTTCCACAAAGGTCGGTAACC